CAGGCAGTCTGATCCTGGAGCCTGTCCTCTTCATCAATGCTTTATTACTTCCCATTCTTGGAAGAAAAAGATTTATGGAGACCTCTCCCCGCGGTCGGAACCTTAACCTCCTCCTCAATGCCTGTGAAACTTTTCAATTTCTTTTCCAACACAGTACAGGTAAAGCACTTAATATAGTGGCTGGCATAACTTAACAGTCAATAAGCATCAGCTATGAATTATAACCTTTTTTCCTTTCTCTTTCTCAAACGATTCACTTTCCCTCTCCAATACTCACTCTCCTGAGAGGACACTTGATTTCGCCCTGACCCCGTTTTTCATGGCCAAACTAGAAACCATTTAACAAGACCCTTTTCAGTGTAGCCTAATCAACAGTTCCTCCGATCGCTTTCCCTACATGCAATTGTCTCAGTCTCAGAGGTTTTTCTCCTCTCCGAGATAAACTCTTTGACCTCAAAGCGTTCCCACCTCTCCGCCAAACGTTTCCGCTTCCACATCCCGTTATCACCTCCAACCCGTCCCATCATTCAATGAGCAATGGTTCTGCGCCTACAAAGTGCTAGGCACTCTGCTAACTTTGTGATCAACAAAACGGGGCCGTTCTATTCCATGAGCTCAACCCAGTGCCAAATGAAAGCCCGCTCCACGGGGGCACCTGGATGGCTCAGTCCGTGAAGGCTTCGGCCCCGCTCGCGAGTTTGAGCCCCACGCATCCCGCCGCCTGCCGTCAGCCCGCACGGAGCCCCGTTCAGGTCCTCTTTCTCCCAGTCTCTGCCCCTCCCTTCACTCGCGCCCGCGTGCGCTCTCTCTCTCTCTCTCCGGCTCAGAAGTGAACATTTACAAAAGAAAAAAAAAAAAAGCATGCTTTACACGTAATAATGACAAAACCAAGTAAATACTGTAATCCCGTTAGGTCTGAGGCTCTGCACAGCAGCGCTGCACGCCAGGAGCCAGAGGTAGGAGACACCAGGGCGCTGAATGAAGGGGCCGCGGGGAGGGGCGAAAACCGAAGGGAAGAAAAGGGCGAAAAAAGGCGTCGTGGTGGGTGGACAGAAGGGACGGAAACGGGCGCCAGGCAGGCAGAGAGTGAACTGCTGACAGTCAGAAGGGGGAGGGGGGGCGAACCGAAAGTCCGACTCCGGAGGCAGGTGGGCTCCCGCAAGAGAAGGCGTGCCCGTGTCACTCACTTTTGCCGCAGGCTCTCCTCCCTCTCCTTGTCCAGAAGGCTAGGCCACGGCTTGTCGCTCCCGTAGGGGCGTGAGTAGCCGCCATAATACGCGGTCGATGAGGCCGAAGTGAAGAGGCTGCCCCGCGGCGCCGAGGGCCGCTCTCGGGAGCGTGACCGCGAGCGGGATCGGTAAGACTGGTTTCGGGACCCTTGGCTGAAGCCACCTAGCTGATGGCTGACACCATTACGGTCCCCAGACCGAGAGCAAGAGTGCGAGCGAGAGCTCGAGCGGGAGCGGCGGCCCCGCGGGGAGCGGGCGGATTTGCTGGGCTTAGGGCTCTTGGACAAACTGCGACGCTTCCCCCCAAAGCCCGAGGCCTCCCCCTCCGGGCTGCGCGAACGCGACACCGGAGCCATCGCCGCCGCCGGGTTCCCCGAGCCGCCGGGTCCCCCGAGCCGCCGGGTCCCCTCAGCCGCTAGAGAAGGGAGCGCTCTCGCGAGCTAAGGGAGATCTCGGTTGCTTCGGATCCCAGAGCCCGCCGTCGCGCCACCACCGAATGTGAGGAAACCTTGGAAACAGTTCCGGGTACGTCGGCAAATCCCTTCCCCCGACCTAGGTGGTTCTGCCGTCGGGACAGGATGTGTGTATAGGTATAATGAAGCCGGTGGGGCAACCGGATCCACCTATCCTTCCGGTCCCGGGTGAAGCGGCTCAAATCTAAACCGGACTAGAGACCTTGTCCTTTCTTCAGCCTTGAATCGAAATACTTGAAGGGAAGGGCGAGAGGCCCCAGGAGACAGTCCACTGAGCAGCCGTATGAATAATAAACCCAGTATGACTTTATATGTATATGTTTGTGTTTATGTACATGCATGTAGGAGTATACTCACCCCCACACGCGTTTTTTTTCTTTCTAATCTCACACAAAGTAAGGAGTGTTTATCAAAATTGGTGGTAAGCTATGATGTCAGCCCCATTTTGCCCAGTTAGCTTAGAGGGCACAAATTCTGTGTTAATAACTTGAGCATGGGGGTGCCCGGGTCGTTCAGTGGGTTGAGCCACCTACTCGTGATTTTGGTTCGGGTCCTGAGTTGGGATTCTCTCTCTCTCTCTCTCTCCCTCTGCCCCTCCCACACCCATTCTCTCTCTCTGTCTAAATAGATGAACAAACAAACAAACAAACAAACATTTTTAAAAAAAATTACTTGAGCCTGATACACTATAGTTAAGTTTGTAGCCTGGAGAAAACTGCATATTTCATCCCCCAAAATTCATCTCCTCTAATGTGCTCCAGCAAAAGGAATTTGTAACCCATTTCTTGTCAGGCCCCATAAACTAGTCCCATCATATGCTAGCTCAGCAATACATGGTTAATGGTCATTTTTTCGATTCATTTTATACTGTTTTTTAAAAATGGTTACTTATTTATTTTGAGAGAGAGAGGGAGAGGGGAAGGGCAGAGAGAGGGAGACAGAATCCCAAGCAGCCTCTGTGCTATCAGTGCAGACCCCAACTCAGGACTCGCTCGCACAATCTTGAGATCATGACCTGAGCTGAAATCAAGAGTCCAATGCTTAATGGACTGAGCCTTCCAGGCGCCCCTTTTATACTGTTTTTAAATGAAAGTCCACTAGGTTGTGGAAATGGGCATTAAGGTAGTGGGAGTCAGGGGAACTCTTTTATACCAATAATTGTTAAAGAAGGTGCACTATGGGGTGTCCGGCTGGCTCAGTCGGAAGAACGTATGACCCTTGATCTCGGGGTCGTGAGTTCTAGTCCCACGTTGGGTGTAGATATTACTTACACTTACGTAAGCTTAAAAAGAAAAAAAGTTGCAAGACTGAAAGTTTTGGGTTTTTAAAAATTTCTTAATGTTTATTTTTGAGAGAGAGAGAGTGCGCGAGTGAGCATGGGGGAGGGGCAGAGAGAGGGAGACAGAGGATCTGAAGCAGGCTCCAGGCAGAGAGCCTGGTGTGGCCCGAACTCGTGAGCCAGGGGATCATGACCTGAGCTGAAGTCAGATGATTAACCGACTGAGCCATCCAGACGCCCCCAAAACAAAGTTTTTAATCTCTGATCTGTTTTTGAAAGGAGTTATGAGCTCAAAACCTGAACTAAATAATTGTTTTGTTTGTTGTATAGATTTATTTTCAAAGGACAGAACAGATAATTTAAATACAAGTCTATAGGCACATGGGTGGCTCAGTTTGTTAAGCATCTGACTTCGGCTCAGGTCATGATCTCACAGTCCGTGAGTTCAAGCCTCTCGTTGGGCTCTGTGTTGACAGCTGGGAGCCTGGAGCCTACTTCAGATTCTGTGTCTCCCTCTCTCTCTGCCCCTCCCCCGCTCAAGCTCTGTCTGTCTCTCTCTCTCTCAAAAATAAAATAAACATTAAAAAAATTAAAAATAAGGGGCACCTAGGTGGCTCGGTTAGTTAAGTGTGGGACTTCAGCTCACATCATGATCTTAGAGTTCATGAGTTTGAGCCCCACATCGGGCTCTCTGCTGTCAGCACAGAGAATGCTTCAGATCCTCTGTCTCCCTCTCTCTCTTCCCCTCCCTCACTCACACTTTCCATTTCTCTCTCAAAAGTAAACATTAAAAAAAAAAAAGAATTACTCTGTCAAAGGCAGCGATCATGCCAAAACATGTTCTCACTTACAGACACTCGCCAGCATCTTTTGAGTCTTTGAGAGCTCTCAGTGAAAAAAAAGGGGTCTAATATTTTATTCATATACATCCTTCTTCTCTGCGATGTAATCTACAGTTTCTTGTGGACACATTAACTTCTCCACATCTGTATCAGGAATTTCAAACCCAAATTCATTCTCCCTGACCATAATAATCTCCACTTGTCCAAACTGTCTAAGCCCAGGTCTTTCATAAAGTGGGAATTTACCGAGAGCTTTTCTGGGTCAATCTTGCCATAGAGTTTCAAGACATAAAGAACACGGTCCTTGATTTCCTCCCACGTCAAAGTGCATCACTGTGCAGGTGGCACACTTGTGTAACTGGGACCTGCGGGAGCACTGAGGTGGGCTGCAGAGCCCCAGGCCTCCTCCAGGTCCCTGCGCCGCACAGGGTGATGCTGAGGGACAAGGCCACTGCCAGCGTGAGAGCCCCCAGGCAGCGGTGTCAAGGCTGAGGACAGTTGGCAGACACAAGTGGAGAGGACATGAGCCACCATGGTTACGCCAACCCCAGATTTGAACTAAATACTTTCACAAAATAATTTTCTTCCCAAATACTTCTTGTTCCTGGTTCAGACTTGTGATCTCTAGTGCTGGCTTTGACAGTCCCTCAAACTCGTGGCTCACTAGGATTTCTCCTTTGATGATGAATTGGTGCTCCATTTATGGGAAGGGGTTTGATGATATTAGGCCTCTAGACGTATGGAAAATTTCTCTAACTCTTGGATCAGCCCATAGGAATTTAACATTGGAAAGACTGAGCCACCAATGGACAATTATTTCTAATTTAACCTCACTGAGAGGAGCTGTGTCTGCCAACAGGTAGAAATGTGGTCAGAACTTGTGGGAGTGTTCTGATGACTGAAAATGACACAGGATGAAACGGAATGATATGACCATTCTGGCGTATATTTGAGGTGAAGATTCTGCTGGGGTGTGTGTGCGCGCGCCCACGTGGGCCCAAGACAGGGAGAAGGAAGAGCAAGTGTCGCCCTGCCCAGTGTGTGACTTGGATGGAGAATTTGAGTGCTTTGCTGTCCATTAGGTCCCTATGGGACTACGATGTTGGCCAACTATGCCAGTGGCTAATGCTGCGTGTAATGAAGCTCGCGGTCAATATCTGAGAGGGGTGGAGAGTAAGGAAGTTCCAGAACTTGGCAAATAACCCAGATCCTGAAGCGCAGCCAGTGCCCGTGGTGTCACAGATTCCAAAGAAAATCGAACAGCTGTCGATTCACACCTATGTATGAAAGAGGAGGAAAGGGAAAGAAGGTTTTAATACAGAGATAAAGATAATACAGCCCTCTGTTCCTGCGTTGCTTTCCTCCAGTTCACTGACGTTCTTTATTTGTGGCATTTAGGGTACAAAACTTCTGTTGTGATGATATTAAGAGAGAAACGTGCTGCACATGTGCTATTTCTTTAAGAGAAAATGTTAAGTGTGGAACTGTGGCATTTGATTTCCTCAGGCTGCCACCTTTTCTTCTCTTCCTCTTCATTCTCCTTCTCCAGTTCTCCAGGTCTTCCTTCTTCCTTCCCTTGCTTTAGAAATGAAAAAACAAGGGCGCTTGGGTGGCTCAGTCAGTTAAGTGTCCGACTTTGGCTCAGCTCACGATCTCACTGTTCGTGGGTTCAAGCCCCACGTCGGGCTCTGTGCTGACAGCTCAGAGCCTAGAGCCTGCCTGGGGTTCTGTGTCTCCCTCTCTCTTTCTCTGCCCCTTCCCCACTAACGCTCTGTCTCTCTTTTTCTCAAAAATAAATAAACACCGAATTAAAAAAAAAAACAAACAAACAAAGAACAGGAGTGCCTGAGAACACAGTTTTGCACAATTTAACCAACACTACATGAAGTACTTCTTTATTATCAGATAAACCAGACCAATAAACCAAAAACCTAGAATAGGCATATCTTGAAAACATTGGCTTCATATGAATGGAGATGTTAGCAGCATTCATGTTTTGATCTTGTCTTTCTTTTTTTTAAAAAAAAATTAGTAGGCTTTATTTTTTAGGGCAGTTTTATGTTTACAAAAACCTGAGCAGAAAGTACAGAGAGTTCCTGTTATATTTTGCATTGGGTGTGGTACCTTTGCTACAATTGATAACCCAGTATCGGTACATTCTAATTAAAGTCTATTGTTTACATTAGGGTTCACTCTTTGTGTAGTGTTTTCTATCAGTTTTGTCAAGTGCTTAATGTCCTGTATCTACCACTACTGTATATACAGAATAGTTTCATTTCCCTAAAAATCCCCTGTGCTCCACCTACTCATCCTTCCTTTCCTGCTCTCTTCCCCTTCTCCTAAAAAAAAAAAAAGGTTTCCCCTTCGTGGGAAACCACTGATCTTTCCACTTCGCTACCGCTGTACCTTTTCCAGAATGTCACATAGTTGGAATCAGACTGGCTTCTTCCGCTTAGCAATATGTACTTAAGTTTCCTTTGTGTCTTTTCCTCGGTTGACAGCTCATTTCTTTTTATTGCTGAATAATATTCTGTTGTACCAATGTATCACACTTTACCTATTCACCCGTTGAAGGATATCTTGGTTGCTTCTAGGTGTCGATGATTATGAATAAAGCTACTATAAACATTCACATGCAAATTTTGTGTAGCTATCTACTGTCAAGCTACTTGGGTGAATGCCTAGGGATGGGATTATTGGATCATATGATAAGAGTATGTTTAGTTTCATAAGAAACTGCCAAATTGTCTTCCAATGTGGCTGAACCATTTTTGCATTCCCACCAGCATGGAATGGGGGTTCCTGGTGCTCCACATCCTTGTCAGCATTTGCTGTTGTCAGTGTTTTGGATTTTAGCCATTCTAATAGGTGTGTAGTGTATCTTGTTGTTGTAGCTTTTAGTTTATTTAATTTGAGAGACAGCGTGAGCAGGAGAGGGGCA